GAGCTCGTCGTCAGGTACTTGGGTTGTTGGTATGTGGGAGAGCCACAGAAAGAAACAATAGGTCGCATCGGGAAACCAGGTTTGTGTAGTTTCGGCAAACCGTAGGGTTTCGGTGGCTGTGGTGCCGAGCACCTCAGTCGATAGTACCGTTGAGTGTCAAAGGCGTTCGCTTACGTCACTTGAGTCTTACAGCCAATAACATCACGGCAAAACCAACCGATCCTTTCACACGAGCTGGAATAAGAACCTTCTACTGTCAACAATCATTCACTTGACTCTGATGATGACCTCCGCACAGGTTGTCGAAACGTCAGTCACTACCACCGACAGCAGTCCTTTTCAGGACTACACTCACCCGGACGATCAGACTACACCTTCACATTAACCAGTAATGTTTACAATTACAACCACCTACCACCCCTCCCTGAGTAATAACACTCTTCCCCCACCCCTTCCCCAGTACTTGTCGACTGCACCCTGAGTACTTAAGGTGTGCCTCCCCTTAAAAAATCCTCCAAAAAATAGTCCAAAAATCGTCCAAAAAGTAGTCTAGTCCAGTCCAGTCGATATTTTACCCTATGCCGTCGAATACGTGAAAACGCTGTAACCACGCTTTCTTATCGCGGTTTATCCACTTGAATCTAGGATTAACCCACTCACGATCAGTGGAAGTACGTGCCCTTAATGTTCAACGGACGTGCTTTGTTTAAGATGTAATCTGTCATCGGTCAACATAATTGATTAGGCCTAAGTGTTGAATCATTTTTTTTTCTTGATACGCTCCAATGGTTTGCTAAATAATAGGCTGAGTTATACACGCATTTTGATCGAGTCTTACTTATAATAAAGAGAATACAGACAACGTTTCGCTTTTTTATCATATAAAACAAATAGATTCTATTTTGCCGCCTCGTCTGTTCAGTAATGGATCACAGAAGGGGTCAAAATGTGGTAAGAAGTCTTACCATATTTTGACGTCATCTGCATATGATCGGTCACTGAACAGACGGGGCGGCAACATTAACATCGAATGAGGTCTATATCTTGGGTTAACGCACGATTCATTGTTGAGCCTGGGAATAAAAATCTAACTGACCTTGGAATGGTATACAATGTTTACCCGACTTTAATTTTTTCCTCAAGGGAAACGAATTATCTGGTTCCCTCTGAAAGTGTCTTTTTTTATTGTATTCCAAAGGAGGCACATATTCTTCTGACGCCAACAAATCTTTTGTTCCCAGCGCTCCAAAGTCGACCACAAAAGTAATTGCTTTGACCCCTCCAAGGTAGAGCAATTAAGAAATACGACATTGTGGCCATTCTTAGCAAGACATGTCTATGTTTACTCACTCTTTTAGTGAATGAGTTTTATGCAAATCCACGTATTGATACTCTTATTATTGAAAGCGAATCGTGTTCTTATATTCAGAAACATAAATAAAGTATTCTTTTTTTTTACCATAAGTCATTTGATTCATTATCTCTTGCAGCTGCAACCAAAACTGACTTGTCACTATTAATCTTTAGTCCATATTCTAGACGAGCCTTATTGAAAGTACGTTAGCGCGTTTCAGTTTCGTGTAAAGTCGATGGGAATCACTTTTGAATCTAAATTTCATAGAAAGCCTTCTCCAACCAGCCAGATACTTTTTGTCACCCTGAGTCTGCCTCACAAGCGAACTGTTCACACAACCGCAAAATGCTGAACACATGTTCTGAACATATGTTCTGAACACTGGTGGCATTCCTTACCTGTTTTTCTGCCATCTCCTAACTGCTACGGTATCCACAGAGATCCACTGTGGATACAGTAACACAGTCTTCTTTCTTGATATTTGAAAGGACAACTTGATTGGAAAAGGCGTTTCTTGTTATACCCGAAATAGCTGCGGAGCTATTTTAAAGTGTCTCCACTCATAATAACCACTATTAATACGTCATTCAGCTCAGCAGTCGCGCATGTCGGGCTTAATAATCAAGGTACAAGGTACTAAGCGACTAAACAATAGGACTCGGGATCCCCTACGAGTTCTTCCACGTGAACAACAACAAATTGACATGTGATAGCCTTATTTATCAAAGTCTGACGGACAACCACTTGAAACTTGAGCCAATGCACGTTTCTGGGGGAAAGGTAAGAGAGAAGCGAGAAAGGGAGAGAGAAAGGAAGAAACCTTCCTTTCTCTTAGGGCGCAGACGTAGCCTGAGTATTGTATTGTATTGTAATCTTTATTTAGACACGATCAATTCATCAGCCTATAAAAATACATATCACATACGCTAAGATATTTAAAATTAAAACTACATACTATAACACTAAAGCTGTTTTCCGTGAATGCCGTGCGTTAGACTTNGGTCTGAGACGCTAGGAATCAACAGAGAAAACAACAAGGCAATAAGGTAAGCCCATTTTATTTCAAAACAAGACATTTTTTCTCTCTTTTAAGGCAAACCGATAACATCTCATACAAACCTTTATAAATATAAAACGTTGCGCAACACGGTAAGAGTCACGTCCGCTTTTCTAGTAGTGAGCTTGGGCTTTCTGTGGGCGAGTTAGCACTATTTTGGTGTTCAACTGCTAAGTACCCGCGTAAATGTAATGTATAAGCGTATTTAAGCCAAAATTTACGCTTGACGTAAAGTCAACTTTCTCAAGGCGACAAAAGCCTAGGTATTCAGTAGTCTCTAACGTGGTTTGATCTCGTCTTAATTTTTAGTGTACTCAGTTTAAGTCGAGGTTAGATATGGGGTTTAATTAGTTTACATGTGGCGTAGGAATACGAGAGTAAATATATTTTAGGTCTAATTTAATAGTTAATATAAGAATAACGAGTCAATCGCAGTTGTATATGAAACGGGTGAGTAGATGGTATCCATGCGGGAGACATTGAGTGATCACGCGACGCATACGCAGTAAGGGTGATAAACTTTACGCATGCCCTCCCCCTAATTTTCTCTGCCCCCCCCCCCACTCCTCTGACCCAAAATTAGTGAACGGTCCCTAAAACAGTTTTAACTTGCTCAAAATCGTTTTGTCAGATGACACGCTTATGACTCAATCTTCTAGAAGGTTTAAGAAATATTACGAGTCGCTTTAGGCAGACCTTCAACCTTACAGTAGGTTTAAATGATGTAWTTAAAGTTACTTAAAGTGGTCCTAATTATTTTAGTTGACTTAAGGCGGTTTAAACTAGACCAAAATCTTTGAGCATATTTAATAATATATTCAAGGTCACTAAAACTTGACCAAAATCTTTCATTGGCTTTAATGCACATTGTAATTGGCACTGAATTGTAGTTAAATAAAACATTGTAATTGGCACTGAAACCTGGTTAAATAAAGGTATTTTTTAAGTCAAGTTTAAGTTCCTTAAACCCGACTTAAATTTTCATTTGGATTTTATGCCCGTTTAATATTGCTGAAATGTCGCTTAAATATGGCATTACACCCAGTGTTTATTCTTGTACGAAGCAGCTGAATCGACTTCTGATATTGAGAAAATCCCGTAGTAACCGATTCATCGCGACGAGCTACGAGACACTCTATGTTAACGGGAAATACGCCATTTGCGCGTGATTAACGCGCTATTAACGCGTTATTGCATGGTTTCGCAGAAAACCAGTTTCTATGACGTAATTGTTGGTGAAACATTTAATTATATTACTATGAACACTTCTGCATTGTATTGCGTTCAGTCTTGTTGTGCGCTATCAAAGTGACTATCTGACTCATTGCAATATGCCTGGTCCGATAAACCAAACAGGCAATCCAACTAGCTTACGCAAATCGTATAATTTATTCCAGTATATTATTATTCGATCTAGTGAAAAGAATTAAATACATGGAGAAACTGAACAGGATCTATCGATACATACACACACGAGTCAAACTATTAGCTAGAATTGCAGCACTGATAACTTACTTCTGTGGCGATGTCTAGTAGGATTGTTTCACGGTATACAGGTCAGCAACAGATATAACAGATCAGGGTATAACAGAATACGGGTCAGCGCGACAGGTCAGCAAAACATGAAGGTCACTTCGAATCTAAACATCTGAACTGAAAGCAGACTTATTCACGTGGCTTAATTGCGAAACTTAGTGTCAATCAAAGTCAATCAGGAAATCAAGTTAATAATTCATTGTATTAACGAAACAAATAGTGACTTCTGTATTGAACTTAAAACTAAATGTCGCGTGTGGGTGCACAGCGAGTTGGCTACTTACGAGACAAATGAGAATTCCGCAGTTGTACCCATCCTTCTGTTTAAAGTGCACCGGCTCGATGCAAGGCCATGATAGAGAAAGCCAACCCGTTTTAGCGTCAGCGACCTCACTACAAATATCATGACAGGGAAATAAAGGG